TATATAACTACCTGGCTGGCTCAGTCAGTAAAGCACGCAACTCTTGATTTCGGGGTCGAGCCCCATGTTGGGTATAGAGATTACTTAAAAATAAAAGTCTTAAAAAAATGGCAACAAAATGATCTTTGGTTCTAGTAGACTTTCTCATGCAACTTTAGTGCATATTATTTAAAGTTTTAATGTGTACTTAATATTTCGGTACAATCGTCCTTTTTTGTTAGCTTAGATGTGTTCATCAGAATCTTCCATGGAACTTTATTTATTTTTTTAATTTTTTTTTTAAGTTTTATTTATTTTTGAGACAGAGACAGAGCATGAATGGGGGAGGGTCAGAGAGAGGGAGACACAGAATCTGAAACAGGCTCCAGGCTCTGAGCTCTCAGCACAGAGCCCGACGCGGGGCTCGAACTCATGGACCGCGAGATCGTGACCTGAGCCGAAGTCGGCCGCTCAACCGACTGAGCCACCCAGGCGCCCCATTCCATGGAACTTTAAAGAGTATACCTGTCTCGGGGCACCCGGGTGGCTCAGTTGGAGTCTTTTTTTTTTTTAATGCTTATTTATTTTTTGAAAGAGAAACGGAGTGTGAGCGGGGGAGGGACAGAGAGAGGGAGGGAGACACAGAATGTGAATCAGGCTCCAGGCTCTGCAGTATCAGCACAGAGCCGGACATGGGGCTCCAACCCATGAAACATGAGATTATGACCTGAGCTGAAGTTGGACGTTTAAGCAACTGAGCCACCCAGGCGCCCCAAGTCTGAGTCCTGATTTCAGTTCAGGTCATGATCACAGTTGTGAGCTTGAGCCCCATATCAGGCTCCAAGCCCAGCTTGAGATTCTCTCTCCCTCTCTCCCTCTCTGCCCTCCACTTGTACATGCACTGTCTCTCAAAAAAATTAAAATTAAAAGGTATATGTATATCTCACCTCTACCCTAGAGATTCTGATTAAGTAGATCAAGAGCAGGGCTAGCATCTGTAGTTTTTTAAAGCTCCACAATTAATGTGAAAAGGCACCCTAGCTGAGAAAGTTGTCTATAAGCAGAAGCTGTATTGTATGATACTTACTTTGCAGCAGCAGATAGCAATTTCTGAACTAACATTTTAAAGTATTCACTTGCGTTTAGTTGTTAAACTTAAGAGGAAGGCAGCGTATTTGAATTAGAAAATAAATCCAAATACAGTACTGTGTTGTTTAAAAGCTAGCTAGAAAAAAAACCTTACACAATATTCCATTTAATAATATTCCATATCTAATTCATGATGTGTTTGATTTTATCTTTTTCTCCCTAGTGAGTGGAGTGCCATAGAAAAAGAAATGGGGGATGGACTGCAGAGTGCTGGTCACCATATGGATGTGTAAGTACCTAGAGCATTTAAGGTAAAATCCAAAGTGAAGTTTAGTGATGAAATGATAGTGATTCTTCTGTTCTGCTTTTATCAAGTTTGCTGGCTTTTATGTTATATGCTGTGTATACAGATCTGACTTACACAAGCTTATTTCAGAAATGCAAGATTAAAACATTCAAAAATCAATCAGTCCAATTCATATGTTAGTAGAATAAAGAAAACTTGTATGTTTATTTCAATACATGTAGAAAAGGCATTTCAGGGGCGCCTGGGTGGCGCAGTCGGTTAAGCCTCCGACTTCAGCCAGGTCACAATCTCGCGGTCCGTGAGTTCGAGCCCCGCGTCAGGCTCTGGGCTGATGGCTCAGAGCCTGGAGCCTGTTTCCGATTCTGTGTCTCCCTCTCTCTCTGCCCCTCCCCCGTTCATGCTCTGTCTCTCTCTGTCCCAAAAATAAATAAACGTTGAAAAAAAAAATTTAAAGAAAAAAAAAAGAAAAGGCATTTCAACATCCACTCACAATAAGAATTCTCATCAAACTGAGAATAAGAGGAGTTTCTTCAGTTTTAAAACTTACAGCTAATGTACTTACTAGTGAAGTATTAAAAACTTACAGCTAGTATTGTACTTAATAGTGAAATATTGATGCTTTTTCCTAACATCAAGGAATAAGGCAAGATTGTCTGCTCTCACCACTCCTGGTAAACATTGTAGTAGAGGCTTTAGTCCAGCAAGGAAGAGACAAGAAAATCAAATGCGAGGCATAAATCTTAGGAAGAAGTAAAATGATCTCTTTGTAGTTATTAACAGGATCTTTTACATAGAAAATCGTAATCAACTAAAAGTAATATAGAACTAACCAAATTTAACAAGGATGCAGAATACAAGCTCAATATATAAAAAACAAATGTTTTTATATACTAGCAACAACAATTAGAAGATAAAAATTGAAAAACAATGCTTTTTATAATTGCATCAAAACAAAATATAAATGAAATACCTCTACACTGAAAACTTTATATATAAACACTGCTGAGAAAAAAATTTAAAAAAATGTTTTTTCTTTATTTATTCTTGAGAAAGAGACAGGGTCCGAGCTGGAGAGGAGCATAGAGAGAGGGAGACACAGAATCTGAAGCAGGCTCCAGGCTCTGAGCTGTCAGCACAGAGCCCAATGTGGGGCTCGAACTCACGAATTGCGAGATCATGACCTGAGCCGAAGTTGGATGCTCAACTGACTGAGCCACCCAGGTGCCCCTGCTGAGAGAAAAATTTAAAGACCTAAATAAATGGAGAGATAAACTGTGTTCATGGTTTGGAAGCGTCAGTAGTGTTAATATCTCCATTCTTCCCAAATTGCAGTCCCAATCAAAATTCTGATATAAATTTTTAATAGTAATTGGTATTACTTAATTCCAAAATTTATATATAAATTTAAAGGACCTAGAGTAACCAAAACAGTCTTGAAAAAAGAACAAACCTGGAATATATTAACTGATTTCAAGACTTCTGTAAAGCTATATCCTGTAAATACAAGGTAGGTACTGGCATAAAGGTAAACAGATCAATGGAACAGAAAAGAGTCCAGAAATAGACTGGGATTTAAATAGTCCATTTCGAGAAATGGTTCTGGAATAACTGGATATGTACATGGAAAAAAAATTAACTTTGAGCCATCTCTCACACCTTACATAAAAACAAATTCAATTTGGGTCATATACATAAATATAAAAGCTAAAATTACAACTTTTAGTAGAAAGCACATGAGAATATTGTTGCAACCTTCAAGTTAGCAAAAATTTCTTTTTATTTTTATTTAACGTTTATTCATTTTTTAGAGACAGCATGAGCGGGGAAGGGGCAGAGAGAAAGGGAGACACAGAATCTGAAGCAGGCTCCAGGCTCTGAGCTGTCAGCACAGGGCCTGATGTGGGGCTCAAACTCACGAACTGCAAGATCATGACCTGAGCCGAAGTCAGACGCTCAACCGACTGAGGCACCCAGGCGCCCTGTTAGCAAAAATTTCTTAAAGAAAACATGAAAAAAACCCAAATTTTTAGTTTTTTCTATTTTTTTTTTTTTTTACTTAGGACAAGGAATTTCAAAGACATTTTTAAATGGTAAAATGTTCTTTATCGAAATTAAACATTTTGCTTATTAAAAGATACTGTGGGAGCACCTGGGTGGCTCAGTCAGTTAAGCGTCCAACTCTAGGTTTTGGCTCAAGTCATGATCTCATGGTTCATGGGTTCAAGGCCCACATCAGTCTCCACACTGACCGTGCAGAGCCTGCTTGGGATTCTTTCTTTCCTTCTCTCTCCCTTTCTCTCAAGATAAATAAACTTAAGAAAAAGATAATGTTAGGGAAGGGAGAAATGGGGGAATTAGTGTTAGAGAAGATGAAAAAGTTCTGGAGACAGATGGTTTGGAGACAGATGGTCTGGAGATGTGGAGATGGTTGCACAGCAAGGTGAATACACTTAATGCCACTCCACTGGACACTTAAAATGATTAAAAGGTAAATTTCATGTTATGTTTATTTACTACACACACACACACACACCATTAAAATAATGAAAAGGCTGGCTACTGACTGGAAGGAAACATTTCCAACCAGAATATGTAAAGAACTCTTACAAGTCAGTAACAAAAAGACAAAAAATACTTATTTTTTTCTAAATATTTCTTCAGGCCATATTCAAGCTGACTGGCTACTTTTCAGCCTTAGAAAGTCTTCCAGCATTCTGTTGATTTAGCATTTTCAGTATTTTCAGGAATTTATGATTATCCCTTCAGGTGATTTAAAGTGTTAAGTAAACAATTTCAGTACTGATATCTAAAAATCATTACCATTTAAATTTTTGTACCCAAGGATGTGCTATTTATCTTTATACTATGTTTCCTGTCTTCAAGCCACCAGCCCTGTTTTTTGTTTCCTTAACATTCTTTCTGGATCATAGATTTATGAATTAAAGGCAGTTTTTCTTGTTCTTAACAATGATTCTCAAGACTTTTTTCAGTCATGTAGAAGAAATTCCATCCATAGTCTAACAAATGTAAATTTGTAATTACAAAATATGTCCTTGCCTCTTTTAGAAACCCTATAAGCACATAGTTTTTCAGAAGGTTTATTTATTTTTTACAACTTCAGTAAATTTTGTTTGCTTGCCTACATGAAGCAGGCCTGGAGACATAAATTATATTATTCTTTTATTCTCATGCTAGGTAATCAGAGTTAATTTGAAAAGTTATATACCATACAGAAGTAGTACATGACATAACCCACATCTTTATGGAATTCATAATGTGATTAGAGAAATAAAACTAACACACAAGACATTACTTTGATAAAATTTAATTTCTGAATTGTTGATAAAAGACCAGAAGTGGTGACTGGAGACTAAAGTAGTCTGGGAAGATCTCCTACAGGTGCTGAGATCTGTGCTTGTAGTATTTGGAGAAGCAGTGTCAAGAGCGGTCAGTCAGGTCACATTTCTGTACAAGGAAAGACTCCTGTCCAGGAATGAGAATGGTATGGCAATAAGGGGCTTGTATGGGTCAAACCAGAGGTTGCTGGGGCACCTGGGTGGCTCATTCAGTCGAGCATCTGACTTCGGCTCAGGTCACGATCTTACTTTTGAGTTCGAGCCCCACGTCAGGCTGTGTGCTAACAGCTCAGAGCCTGGAACCTGCTTTAGATTCTGTGTCTCCCTCTCTCTCTGCCTCTCCCCCACTCATTCTCTCTGTCTCTCTCTCTCTCTCAAAAAATAAATAAACATTAAAAAAATAAAACGTTAAAAAAAAAAGAGATTGCTATTGACAATTA